AAAAAACCTCATACATGTAGTAATCTGTAAGAGCTGGGAAGGATAGTGTAGATGACAGGGAAGGAAGAAAATACCATCAAAAAACATAAAAAACCTCATACATGTAGTAATCTATAAGAGTTGGGAAGGATAGTGTAGATGACAGGGAAGGAAGCAAAGCTTCCCAATACACATCTTTTACATCATGTTGATTTCTGAACTATGTTAATAACCTATTCAAAAACAGAGATAAATACTAATTTAAAATAGAGGTTGAGCATCCCTAATCCAAAATTCCAAAATCCAATATGCTTCAAAATCCAAAACTTTTGAGCACCAACAAGAGCTCAAACGCCACGCTCACTGGGGCATTTCAGATTGTGGATTTTTGAATTAGAGATGTTCAATTGGTAAATATAGTGCAAATTAAAAAAAAAGTCTAAATCTAAAACACTTCTAGTTCCAAGCATTTCACATAAGGGATACTCAATCTATAAATGACCACAACTTTGGTGGACTTCCTACCACAGACAACTACAAAATTGGACAAATTATAAGGAGAAAAGTTCTCAGATGTTAGACAACAAGCCATGCAGAACTATAATCACTGAGAAGGGGAGAAAATGAGGTGAGCCACACAAAGGCCTTAGGGATCTGAATGGAGGCATTTTCCAGAATCTGTAGCAGGGAAAGGGAGCTGAAACACAGCACTCTATCTCTCTCAACTAAGGAAACAGAGTCTAGAGTTTGGGGCTTTGAGGCAGCTGGAATTTGGAGAGAAAAAAGGTGTGCATAAAAGGAGCACCAGAAATATGCACAGGAATCTCCTTGGAGTTTTGATCAAATATTAAGTTGTGCAGGGAGAAAGTGCAGGGCACCAGGCAAAGAACAAACACTGAAGAAATAAATATTACCAAAGGAAGAACAAATACTGCATAGCTTTCAGCTGAACAACTACTTCAACAACATATTCTTGAATGCTAAGAAATGATCAAGCTGTAACAAGACTGAGAAGAAATCTTGTTTAAACAACTTTAGCTCCAAGCAGAATCCAGAAAGGCCATACCTTATGAACAGGAATAACCTAGCCCTAGAGTGCAGGCTACTCTAAACATTTGTTAGCAAACCTTTAAAGGCCTCAAAATGACCAAGCTGATGTGAAAGTAAATTGTCTGACAAAAGAAAACTTTATATTCTATTAGTGAAGACTACAAAATCCAAAGATTCAACAAGGTGGCAACCATAATGTCCGCATACTAGCAGCAATGCTTCAGTATTTGTTAATTTAGTGTTCACTGTGGCTTTGTAGAATGCAACTACTATGAATAACAAGAATCAATCACATTTTACAAAAAGCGAAAGATCTTCAAATAACGCACCTGATATGATTTGGCTATGTCTCCATCCAAATCTCACCTTGAATTGTAACAAAACTCACATGTCAAGAGGCAAGGTGAAGATAATTGAATCATGTGGCTGGTTTCTCCCATACTGCTCTCATGGTAGTAAGTCTCACAAGATCTGATGGTTTTATAAACGGGAGTTCCCCTGTATAAGCTCTTGCCTGCCACCATGTAAGATGTCAAGATGCCCCTTTGCTTTTCCTTCATCTTCCACCATGATTGTGAGGCCTCCCCAGCCATGGGGAACTGTGAGTCCATCAAACCTCCTTCCTTTGTAAATTACGCAGTCTCAGGTAGGTCTTTATTAGCAGCATGACAACGGACTAATACACCACCAAACAATTACCCATAGATTCTATAGGTAACCTAACAGTATTGTAGATCAATCAAATTGCAAGTGTTTCTTTTTTGGCTTTGGATAAATTGTTCCATAACAGAGAAACTGCTTAATTAATATTCTGAATAGGCTTTGTCTCAGTGGACTTCCAAATTTTATTAGCTTACAAAATCAAACCAGTGACACAGATATTTTGGAATCTTTCACATTTGTCAAAGAAGAATTTTAAATAGATATGAAAAAATTGGTTTTTATCATACTGACAATGCTCTAGCTTTGTCATTAAAAACCTCT